AATTGCAATTTCATTATTCTAGAATACTCTATTAAATATTCTAGTCTACAAGGTAGAAATCTCTACTTCCAATATAATTTTTAGAAGACTTGGAAATAAGTTTATGTTCCAGCAGGAAGAGGTTACAATACATTTCCCCATTTTGCCTTTATTTTGATATTCTCCTTACTATGCAATTTAAATTCTAATAACTATCATCCAGAATAGCTATAACTGTGGGCAGCATACAGCCCATTAATCACATTCTAGGAAGTTGAAATAGAAACCATATTTCCATTTGGTAAAGTATATAATCTGCCGTTACACACCATTAAAAAATATGCAAATAAAAGCTGGATATAATGTCTTTCTTTTTTTAAAAAAAAAAACCACTATACATTCTTCTTTGCCACACATCACATAAATGGTATTGTACTCAATTTAAAAAATTGCTTCATGTTTATCTCTATTATATTAAAATTTTATTAGCTTTTTCCTGAAAAATTGAAGGCAACATCATTTAATTAAATTTCTAAGAGATTCAGCTTCCAAAACTTCAAATCAAAACAACCATTTTGAAAATGAGTGTGCTCCCACCCAGCTTCATGACTTTTTTGTCTTAGTCCAGGGGTATCAAACTTATGTCATCACAGCAGCATCATGTGACATATCAGGACTTTTTCCCCCTTCGCTATACTGGGCATGGGAGTGGCCAGCACGTGATGCATCCAGCCCCTGGGCTGGGAGTTTGACAGCCCTGTCTTAGTCCCTCATGAGAATTGTGGAAAATGCTGTAATGCTTTGCTATATTAACTGAAGACACATGCATACATGATACACACACACACACACACACACACACACACACACACACACCACTCAAATAAAATAGAATTCAGAATGTATTCTGAATTAGACTATTTCAGGCCTGCTTATCTGAGAGCTATCCAATTTTGCTCCTCCTTTATTTAAAATCTATAGGCAAATGACAAACAGCTTCATCAGGGTATTATCAAGCACCCTTTCTTGTTTGTCCAGCATCTGAGAATGCTTCTTATTATTTAAGAAAAGGTGACATCAAGAAAGGCAAATAAAAGAACATTAAGAAGCTTTGTGCCTTTGGACATTTTTTCAAGGTTTTTCTGTATTCCATTTCTATTTCCTGACAGCTCCAATACATTAAGGTAGCAGTCATGGTAAAGTTCAAGTATGTCACAGCAGGGCTTTATACCAAGATACATTTGAAGGGTTGAGAGAAAGAGAGAAGAAAAAACCTGTCAAACTTGAGCAAACATACCATGTAGCAAAAAATAAAAGCTGGTGATTTCACCTTAGCTCTTTTATTGGAAAGTATTCCAAGCAGGTTAGTTGCTTTCCAATTAGCTGCATGAGAAAACCTTATTACCAAATTTCTTGGCAAATTCTTACAGCCCTAACCAGATGCAAAGTCACCAGTATATATTGATGTAGGATTGTATTCTATATTTCAGCAGGAGGGGAAAAAAGATCGATGCATAATCATGTAAAAGGAAAATGACGCTGACTTAAATGAACCCTCATCTGTTTTCATACCCATTTTAGCTTATCTAAGATTATATTCTGCTTTTAAAGTTAAATTACTGGGGGAATGAATCTAATGTTCATGCTACAAAAATATAAAATTACAAGCTACAATATTGTAATGTTAGAACAGAAAATAATTTTAATAATATTGAAATAGGAGTCATTTCTAGGACAACTATCTACCCTGTAACTAACTACTGAACAAGGATCCATATAGTGCTGAAGAATGAACTAATGAACCATTAAAAACACATGTAATGTTTTTGTTTAAATGAGACTATAATTATGGGTTGTGTTTGGTGCCATTAATTATGAGACGCTAGAGTTCTGCAATTACTCAGGATAGGCCCTGGAGGATTCAAAAGGTAGTAGGCACAGGGTTTTACATCCATGTGTAGAGCTGCCTCTAAAGAAATGTATATATTATATAGGAATAGAAGCCATCCCTGTCTCACTTCAACAAACTAATACATGTACTATGTGAAGGATTCTAAACATGCTCGGAATTGGCAAATTGTCTTTATCGGGAAAGATTGCATGGGAAAATGGCCTGGATGCACATTTCCACTTCTCTCTTCAAACATCTATATTTTATTTTGAATCTTCAAAATAATATTTCAAATTAATATACAGTACATTTACACTATATTTTTCTAGTGTTTAAACAATTTAAACATAGCTAACATTTGCAATGCTAGGTTCTGTAAATCCAAAACAAAACAGATATGTATCAGAAAAAGACAGAAACAAATATGTATTAGAAGATAGAAGCCAAGTATTTTCAGCAAGCATATATTGTCAAACAAATATGAAAAGTAGATCTGAAAATAAGGTTTTGTATTTTTTGTAGATTCATCATCTTCAATATGTTTTTCTCTCCTCTTGTCCATTTGCTATTCTATGTTTCCTTTGAATCTCATGCAGCCTACTTTCCCTTGACCTATGTCATTACTTTTGATTACATCATTCCCAGCACTACTGACTCTTTTCCTTGACCCCAATATTCTACTACCCGAGCCATGAAATTAATATGAATGCCAAGAAATATACAAATATTTCTAGCACAATTTTAAACTTAGAGGTTTGTGACAGTAGTCATACATATATTTGACAGTATACCCTTGGGTTTCTCAACCTTGATAATTTCAAGCTGTGTAGACTTCAATTTCCAGAATTCTGCAGCACTGGCTAGGGAATTCTGGGAGTTGATATCCATGCATCTGAAAGTTGTCAAGGTTGAAAAGTATGGATATACATAAAGGGTCTGCAAAGTTTCAAGGGTTGTTCTCTCAAAAGATGGATTAAAGCTCTCTTTCAAAATGCCTTAATAAAGAGGAGAAGCATTTTTCAAGGCAGCTAGTTAACAAAGATATTCGCAACCCAATCAAAGTTAGTAGTAATTAGAAAAATAATATTTTAATTTCAGTAATGAAGTGGAAATACTGTATGTGCATATATCTTTGTAAAGGGATTACTGAGCTAATGTTATGAAACACAAGATTCACTGAGGCATTATGGTTTAAGTATTACACCTGGATTGGGGAGAACTAGATTAAAATCTATCTCCAGTCATAAAAATATTTACTGATTTGGGGGCAAACTTATTATCTCAATCCAATTTATCTTAGAAGGGGGATAAAACAAAGGAAGATTTTTATTCAAACTGATGTGAGTGTTTGATATATGGATGCAACTTGTAGATGCAACAAATGAACAAATATTCATTTTTCTTATCAACTGACTACCATGCTATATTTGAAAATATGTTATATTTATAATAATGCCAAGGTAAAGGGCTGACTATAAGACAATTGTAGTAAGAAGAGTTCCTTTAATACAGTGGTCTCCTATCTTTGCAGTTTGGTGGCCCAGCTGGGGGTAGGGGAGAGGGGAACTGGGGTCTGAAAGCAGCAGCCCCGCACATCGATGCACACATAGAGCTTCACTCACACAGGAGAGAAGCCTTTGAGGTGGGTATCATGCTGCTTCAGGCTTCCCTGCACTAAAAGCAGGTTGGGGATCCCTGCTTTAATAAATGTTAATGGAAGCCTACCAGTCTCTATTTTCTCTGAGTTCTAAGATGTTTGGATGTGACTATTCCGCAGATAGAAGAATTCCACTATTAGTACAAGATACATGGGTAAAAGTGGTAACTGAACCTTTTCCAGATTGATAGAAATTAACATTTTTGTTTACAGAGCTCTTCGGAAAATTATTTCACAGGTACTGTTACAGCATCTGGATACTATTAGGGTCTGGATGATAAGGTTTAATAAACAGGTTTAATCTTAACCCTAAGCAAGATCTCTGATGGATGGGCCATAACCAGGGATTTTTCTATCTTCAGTTCTCAATAGGAATGCACATTACTATCTAGAACTGATACAAATTTGGGGATCCTTCTGAATTCCAAGCTTTGGATGGAAGACAAGTGACAGTTGTGGCTAACAGGGATTTTGCAATGATCCATTTTGTATTGAATTGCAACTTTTTCTGGAGCAGCAGACATTTCTCATAATCATTTGTGTGTTAGTCACCTTCCATTTGGACTAATGAAATGCTCTTTACCAGGGGCTGCTTTTAAAACTACCCAGAAACCATAGATAGTCCCTAATGCCCATATGCAAGTAATGGATATAGAGTACATCAACATCTCTACAACACATTCTGCACTGCTTACCAGTTGGTCTCTGGATATTTATGCACCTACCTTTCTCTTATAATTGTATTTGATCTGTTATATTTTATTTTATTTAATAATGTTTTCAGTCATAGTATACCATACTATGGTATATATGATTAATATGTGTGTGCATGTGTTTGTGTGTAGGTATATATAGGTATATATACAGGCTCAGAAGCCTGATGATGGCAGATGAGATTCTGCCGAAACGTTGCTACAACTTTAAAAGCACAACTACAATGACGTGGGAAAATACCCGAACAAAGCTGAATGCCATACATGTAAGTACCCGCGAAAACTTAAGAAAACAAATATATAGGTATGTATATAGAATGTGTATTGATTTAGATAGATAGATACTTTTTTTGAGAGTAGGCAACAGAATTTCATTTTTAATGTGTGACAGTGTGTTCACAACAACAAATGATGATAAAGTTATATTAACCTTAAATCTTAATCTACTGAGTCATTTTGTTAGGAAATCATATGAACTGAATAAATACAACTTCAAACCATCATGGCTTCTACCACATTCCTAAAGTATTTCACAAACTTCTTTTTATTTATCAAATTTATCACCTTTCTATAAACATCTCATCTGTCAATCGAGCAATAACTCTCTTAGTTTTCCTTTTCTTAATACATTCTTGCTTCCTTCATATATGCATTTGTGCTGCAATTGAATTGTGATTTCTCTCTCTATATATAAATAAGTCATCTCAGCCAGGGGTGGTATTCAAATGTTTTAACAACCGGTTCTGTGGGCGTGGCTTAGATGGTGGGCATGGCTTGGTGGTCATGTGACTGGATGGGTGTGGCTTGGTGGTCATGTTATTGGCTGGGTGTGGCCAACTCAATATCACATCAAGGCACGCATCTCCTTGCCTGGCCTCTCATGACTATGGGGATGCTGCAACAGTCGTAAGTGTGAAAAATTGTGATAAGTCACTTTTTTCAGTGCCACTGTAACTTTGAATGGTCACTCCACACAAGCAAAGGAGTACCAGCAAAGGAGGGGGAAAAAACTCCAGAGACGTTCCTGAGACAGGAAGTCTAGTCCTGCCAAGAATGTAATAAGGGTTAACAGAAAGGAAGTTTCTGTAAGCAACACCAGAATGTATCCTTCCTGCCTTCCTTACAGGATTAGGCCAGTAATTTCTTCTAACAACCTGTTCTCCTAACTGCTTAGGATGTTAACAACCGGTTCTAGCGAACAGGTGCAAACTGGTAGAATCCCACCCCTGATCTCAGCATAGTTTTATTAAAAAATGGTCATTTTTATGTGCAATCTACATTTGTTCCATACCCATTTATTTTGACCTTTTTTTTTACTTGCACTACACTTTCTGAATTCAATTTGTTTTTCTATTTTCTTGACATATTCAGCTCTCATATGTACATATAAGTGAGTTGCCAAAGAACATTCCTATATATAGTACATAAATTTCACTTCTTTCAGTAAACTTTTATTACAACAGACACTGTCCACTACTTTTATATCAGAATTTGTAAATCCAATAGAGGTTTGATAGGATATTTCCATCCATTGCATTGCTTTTTCTTGCATAGTTTTCTATTAAGTTTCTCAAATTCCTTTTGTTTCTCTGATTATTATTATTTTATTAATGTATGACTTACAGTTATTCATTTCATTTTCCTAATTAAGTAATTATTAATTATTTTGGCCTCCAGAAGTTGTAGATTCTCCGACACTGGAAGTTTTAAAGAAGAGATTGGGCAACATATTTGTCTGAAATAGTATAGAGCTTCCTTCCTGAACAGGGAGTTGGGCTTGAAGGCCTCCGAAGTCCCTTCTAGCTCTGTTATTCTGTTAGATTCACTTTCAGATTCAGATTCCTCATTTGCATCATACAACCTAACGTATCAATGATTTGATACAAATAATTCAATATCACAGCCAACTGTACAGCAACACCTACATACAAAAATATATACACACTGAAGGGCCCAAGTAATACACTTTTCAAAAGTCACCAAAAATATTTCTTATACATTTGTCAATAAATACATTAAACAATCAATGTATTTTCTAAGGACCAGCTAAACAAAGCATCTGTTCTGCCAAATATCTTTCCAATGTCAACTAAAAAGATACTCCTTTGGTCTTTTTAGCTGCCAGAAAAAGGGAGTGGGGGAAAACAAGGCATTCTTGAAATACCTAGATAACCAATTCAGAAACCCAAAGTTGTTGGAGCATAAGAAGGTTATTGGAGAGCATGATGGAGGACTCTTGGAGACTGATGTGTCTTACTGGAGAAGTCACATCCAGGGGGTGGGGGAAAGTCCAGGGTCAAGGGGGAAATGTATGATGTGATTTAGTACCGGCTGTACCCATCCATGTGCCAACATGGCAATTTCTATAAACCAATTTACTTTTTCTTAGATGCGGCTAGAGACTTTTGCTTTGAATGAGGGGGATTTGTTGGAGCCCTGACATCCAACCAGAATTAATGAATTAATTCCTCTCAAATTATTATTTTTTTCATTCATTCTTTCCCTTTGGGTACAGGATTAATAACACCCTTCCACCAATTGATAACTACTGATTCAGTCTTCACAAAAGGCAAATGATTGCACAAACATACCAAACGCAAAGTGTATTCATACTTTAATATGTTTCCAAGTTCACTTATAACACTTCCAGCCTTAATATTCTTCAATATTTCCTCAGTACATGCAGTTTCCTTTTCTTCATTTTTTTTTGAACATTAACATTTATTTTAGTTCCATTCTTCATATGTGGGACATAAATTAATATCAAACATTTATCTGGCAGTAAGCAACAATTGTCCAGTTTTAAAGTCAAAATCCTCATCAGAGGTGGTATTCAGCAGGTTCTGACCAGTTCTTGAGAACCAGTAGTGGAAATTTTGAGTAGTTCAGAGAACCAGCAAATACCACCTCTGACTGGAGATTTTACAGTATCCTTCCCCTACCACACCCACCAAGCCATGCCCATAGAACCGGTCATAAAAAGAAAATGAATCCCACCACTGATCCTCATAATAAACCTATTACAGTGGTGAAAGGGAGGAGCACAAAAAATGGGAAATTGTTTTATTGGCTTCTTTCCAATATGGAACTGAAATTCTTATCTATGTGAGTCTTCAGGGTCTTTCTTCCAAAGTCTTGTCATCAATGTTGTATTTGTAAATCTCAAATAAATCTCTAAAAGATTCTTCCCGGCATCCTTTTCACACCAAATTGTTTGACCACTTTAATTCTTAATTCCATTTGTCCTGCTGACAGTTTCATTCTTATCCCTGCTCATCACTTCCTAAAGTTTAGGACTTCTTTGGAGGGGAAAATTTTCATGCCCAAACCATTAAATATTTATCTTTCTAAATAACAGAGTTAATTAACAGTTTCTAGAACTGTTCCTTCTTGTTTTTACAATGTATATTCTTTGCAATTATTTTTCTTCTTTTTATATATATTATATACTGTACTTTCTTTTTTACATCCCTGTTTATTTTTCCTATGACTATTCTTTTACATGTTTTTTCCTCATCCATAGCCATATTCACTTCATCTGACTATCTTCTTTTAACATGTTTATTAGCATAATTTTACATATTTCTATGGGACTCTTTAATGTAATTATTTTTACTCTGTTCCAGAAGCGTTCCCAGCATATTTTCTTAAATCCATTTCCCATGATTCTGTTCTGAGATTAATCTGCTCAGTTCATACAAGACTCATACTTTCCAATTGTGCAATTATTCATTTTTATTCTTCTTTCCTTTAGCATCAGCAAAGATTATGCATAGTCTTCAATTATAAAGATTGCAAATAGTCTTGGATTATATCATATGTATATTTATGAAAATGCTTTTATTCAACTGAAAATTGGCATTTTATCTATTCCTTTTGTAGAATAAATTCAGGTCTTGGGATTGCCATTTATATCTGTACTTCTTAATACTTCTACCTTACAAATTCTTGTACTGATATTTTTCCCCAATGTTTGAAATATAAATACTAAAGGAATAGAGTAAGTTTTTTCTATATTTTCCAAACATTTAATGAGAGTTTTAAATATATATTTAAAACAGCAACAATTAACTTATTAATTTCAGGAAGAAAAGACATAGCTCTAATTAAAGAACTATGTTATGCAAATTTCTAAATTCTTAGTTTAGCATAAGCGCACAATCGTGCCTATTGTCCTGTCCTATTGTCACCAATTATAAGTTCCTATTTCTTATATTTAAACTTATGTTTATTCTTATTTCTATTGTATTGTAAGCTTTTGACAAAATAAATAAATAAATAAATAAAATAGTGGAAAACATTACTGTATTTAGTATGCAAGACTTCCATCAGGACACTGGTAATATTATGTAGGGTTTTTTATTTTTTTATTTTGAAGAGATAATTTTGGCCACATGACAGGCAAAAGAATAACAGAATAACAGTTAGAAGGGAGCTTGGAAATCTAGTCCAACTCCCTGTACCATTTCAGACAAATAATTGTCCAATCTCTTCTTAAAAACCTCCAGTGTTGGAGCACCCACAACTTCCTGAGGCAAATCGTTCCATAGATTCTGTGTTCCAACTGTCAGAAAATTTCTCCTTAGTTTTGAGTTGATTCTCCTGTTGATTAGTTTCCATCCATTGCTTCTTGTCCTGCCTTCAAGTGCTTTGGAGAATAGCTTGACCCCCTCTTCTATGAAGCAGCTCCTTAGATATTAAAACCCTGCTATTGTATCATTCCTAGTACTTTGATTCCTTAAACTGGACATACCCAATTCTTGCAATGATTTTTTCATGTTTTATCCTCCAAGTTCCCTAATCAACTTTGTTGCTCTTCTCTGTTCTTTTTCTACAATTTCAACAAAAAAAAAAAATAGAAATGTTTTAATAAAAACTTCATTTTAAAATTCAATAATCTTGAATTGAATAAATTCAATTGCTTATATTTTGCTAAACAATGTTACTGAAAGAGATTGCCAAAACTTGAGTTCCATAGCAATCTTGCTCAGAATATTATAATTCCATTTTCTTTGTAATATTATTTTGATAGAATTGCTTTTGACTTGAAATTGTAAGGTGGATATTTGTACATTCTTAATTTAATGTTAATATTTTCAATTATATTTGATTATATTACATTGAGAAAATGTGAATTTATTCGTATTTTATTCTCAATTCTCTCTTATTCTCTCATCTTTTGCATCAAACAGAAGGATTTTTTTTTTTTTAAAAAAAATGGCTGTATCTTATGTTCTAGAAATAATATTAGAGTTTGTGAACAAAAATTTCCCTGCTTCTGATGCCCTTTTGTCTTATGTTTGTGGAGATAGTATATTCAGAGTTATATTTGTTTGATTCCTACTGAACATCACTAAAGTCTATAACAAACTTTAGGTCAAGGAGAATTTTCTGGTCAGTCTTAAATGCAACCCAGGTGAATAAACTTTCTGAAAACAATGGGAGCTCAGTTATTTGCAATTTATATTATGGCTTAGGGAAAAAAAGTTATAAAGCCCATTCCATTTATCATCTCATGAAGTGAGTCTGTTTATTCCATGAAGGTGTAATTAGAATGAACCATTGGGGAAATCCTATGCATGCTTTCTTGTAGTAAGTTTCATTAAATACTTTGTGATTTATTTTTGGTCAAATGTGCATAGGGCTGGCTTATAAAGCATAACTAATTTTACTAAGATGAATTCTTGATTCTTGGGAAATTCCAGAAGCTTGATCCAAACAACTAAGAATCTGTGAGTTGTAACACTGTAAGTATAAGATTGTAACAAAGCTCCATTTATGTTTAACTGGAGAGGTTTGTAAAGTTTTTTCCCCCAAAACTCTTAGAAACTGAAGTTAATGGAATTTAAAAGTGCTTAATTTTGGCTGAGGAATGCTTTGTTTCGTTAAGAAATCCATATGATGAATGCACCATGGTTTATTTCAGAAAACTGTGCTTTGCTAACACTGCCAGCATATATTGTACATTGGTGCCCTTACACGGTTTATTATTTCAAAGATATGTAAATTTGTGGATTGAATCACTTTTTCTTTGTGGTATCTGTCATGATGCATTGGAATAACCAAGATTTCTTAGAGTACCATGCTGTAAATTATGTGCAAACAGAAAAATATGAATTCTAAGTGGTTGCCATAATCAGATTTCTTTCTCTTTGTGTATTGCTCTACAAACTTGTTATGTATGACTACCATTAAAACTGTTTCAGTATCACTTCCGGTTTGTCGGCTTCGCGAGCGGCAGGGATTTGTGAAGCTGCGCGATCCCTGCTGCGCTAGCCGCTTTTGGGGCTCCGATCCGGACGGGTACGGAGCTAGGGGCAGCTGAAGGTAGGGGGGATCCGGAGAGGGGTTTGGGGGTGTTGCAGACCCCCTCCCCAGCCGGCAGAACCCCCTTTTCCCAAGACGGTGCAGCGGCGGTCCGTAATGGCCGCCACAAAGAAGCTGGCAGCCGGGTAAGAATGTGCAGGAGGAAGTGGAGAAAGTTTTTGAAAGGAGAAAGTTTTTCTTCGTTCCTAGGACTCTAAGACATATTTAACAAAATTCCTGAAAAGTATGACTTTCTGAATGATACCTTCTAGAAGAGGAAAAAAGCGGTAGTTTGGTGGTGCTGAAAGGAAAGCTTACCCTCCTTTCCTACGGAATAAATAAGTGGATATTAAGAAACCTATTTTTTTTAGGGTGAAAACTGGCTTTAAGCGATGAGTGGGAAGGGAGAGGACTAAAAAAAAATATTGGTATGCTAAGACTGTTGGAGGAGATGCCTTAAGGATTTGAAGACTAAAATATATTGCAATAAGACTTTAAGAAACAGATTTGGACTTTCTTTGTCTCTGATTGATACTACCCCAGAAGGAGCAAGTGAGAACTCTGCCTTGGTTTGGACTGATTGATAACTTTGGGACTGTTTTATTTTTTCTTTGGAATATTCTGGTTGTTGTAAGAAGAAAGAAGGGGAAAAGAAAAGAAAAGATTTATAATGGCTCTTTCTATTGAGGAACTGAGAAAAGATTATGAACAAGCAAAAAAAAATGGTAAAGCTGGTTTGAAAGAAGCCTTCCTTTTTTTAGAAATGGCACTTATTAACTATCAACAAACATTACAACAGATGAAGACAGCAGAAGAAGAAGAAGGAAAGGAAGCCATTTTTAATAAATCTCAGAACTCGACCAAGAAAGAATTAAGAGGGAAAGGAAGAGAAATAAAGGACTTAAGATTTAAAAAAACACTTAAGAAAGGGAAAAATAAGGTGCAAAATCAATATAATGATAGTAAACAAAAGGGAAAAGGAACACGACAGAGAAGGGAAGCCAGTAAGGCAGAGGCTAGAAGAAGGGGGGGTAGAAAGGTTTGTTGGGAGAAGAAAGGAAGGGAAAAGGTGGAGAAAAGCTACAAAGTTTTGAAATTAAATGGGAAAAAAGGAATCTTTTTTAGGGATAAAGGATAAAGTATAATTTCTTCAAAAAGATTTTGCAAGGTACATAAGATGATATTGTAGTATTGTATTAGAAATAGAAAACTTAAATGGTTTAAGAGTTGATAAGAGATTAAAATGGTGAAATGTTTAATAATGATTGGTTTTAAAATTTAATAATATGAGGGGAGGTTTAGAATATTGAGTTTTAATTAAAGAGTTTAATAAGATTATGGTATTGATGTTATTATAAAATTTCTATTATAGTATTTGTTTTTAATATTTAGATTTATTGTTTAACTATGTATTTAATTATTCTGGATGTACTATTTAGATAGAATGTACCAAGCAAAATCGGATTGGGTATTGGGCGTTATTTTAAAGGTTAATTTGATTAATTTAGGGGGGAGATAGAAAGGCATCATACTCTGATTAGTGATTTCAGGAGAAACTTCTTTTTTTTTAAAAGGAACGAGACAAAGGGACAATAAAGAATGGACAAAAGATACAAATATAATGACTCAAATTAAGATGATTAATTAAGATAGAATTAAGAAGAGTGAAATATGTGGAGAAGTTAATATAAAAGACTTAGAATGGTAAATAAAATAAGTAATGATATGTAAGATGAGCATGAATATAATTGAAGTCCATGAAGAGAGAGATACCTGGGTCCAAGTTACTTTCCAAAAAGATTTTTTTTATGTTTTGTGTGTTGTGTGTATATGTTTTTTTTTTTTTGGGAGAATTAATAAAACCTTGCAGAAATATAGAATGAGAATAATGGTAACTAAGTCAGAAAGAAATAGATGAAATAATAATAATGAAATTGAATAAGAGTAAAGAGAAGTAAAGAGAAATTGGATAAGAGGTTTTTGTATGTTTATATGGAAATGGTTTAAAAGAATTATAGTTTATCTGACTTGTTAAATTTATAATGGAAAAAGGTTTAAACATGTAATGGATAATGATGATTTGTGTGTTTTGAAAATTAATAAAACTTGTTTTAAAAAAAAACTGTTTCAGTATCATGGATAGACTATGATATAATTGTTATTCAACATCGTGTGTGTGTGTGTGTGTGTGTGTATGCATGTGTGTGCACACGTGTGTGTATACATATACATATATATATTCTTAAAATTCAACTATGTCGGTGTGATAGATTTAAGTATTTGCCCCTAATTCTGTGAGTTGGGAAAAATTCTGTGAACATTTGTATAAACAGTTGGTGAGACTACAGAGATTGTGAATATGTATATCTATCTAACCCCTGTACTCTTTTTCCTTGCCCTCTTTAACTGTTTGACTCCAGAAATCAACAAAAACAAGTAAGTGTTAGTTTATATATCCAAATCATTGTCACATTTTTTTCACATGGAAAAAGACCAAAAATTGCCATATTTAGCATACTAATGAAAGATGACAAAAACAGAAAACAAATTATGTAAATTAGATAAATTTGAATAAAACAATTTGAATAAAACAAAATATAGGAAAAAACCCCTCTATGGTTATTCAATGTTTTTGTACACTCTAATAGTTACTGTTACAAAATATATATATCAAGAGTTGAGAAAAAAATAGTCTGGATGGATGTATATTTAAGTAAAAGGTCAATAGGCTCCCCTTAGGGCTGTGTGCTCAGCCCTTACTGTACTTGCTGTATACACATGACTGCATATCCTCTGATCCATCCAACATTATAATAAAGTTTGCAGATGACACAATGGTGCTGGGTCTTATAACTGGAGGGTATAAATCAGCATACAGGGAAGAAGTCCAGAAGCTATCCACATGGTGTTCAAAAACAACCTACATCTAACCACTAGCAAAACAAAGGACATGGTGCTGGATTTCTGGAAGCAAATGCGGCGTG